TCAGCTCTATCAGTGAGGCAAACTCCGACTGAGTGGCGCTTTTCTGGAATTTTTGACAAATTTTCAAAGGGGTGAGCGCACTTTTCACTTCGCGCCACACTTTTTTGCAAAGTGACCTTCAAAAACTATTTGCGAGCAAAATAATGGAGTTGCAAAAATTCTTGTTACACCACTGGATAGAGCACACGCAACTCTATAATTGAGGGAAACTCCGACTCAGAGGTGCACTTCTGGAATTTTTGACGAATTTTCAATCAGTCGAGCGCACTTTTGACTTCGCGCCACACTCTTTGGCAAAGTAAGCTTTAATAATTTTTTTGAAGCAAACCAATTGAGCTACAAAAATACCTGGTACGCCACTGGATAGAGCGCACCCCACTCTATAAGTGAGGCAAAGCCCAAGTCAGTGGCGCGTTTCGGTAATTTTTGGCGAATTTTCAATCAGTCGAGCGCACTTTTCACTTTGCGCCACACTCTTTGGCAAAGTGAGCTTCAATAATTTTTTTGAAGCAAACCAATTGAGCTGCAAAAATGTCTGGTACGCCACTGGATAGAGCGCACTCCACTCTATAAGTGAGGCAAACCCCAAGTTTGTGGCGCCTTTAGGTAATTTTTGGCGAATTTTCAATCAGTCGAGCGCACTTTTAGCTTCGCGCCACACTTTTTTGCAAAGTGACCTTCAAAAATTATTTGCGAGCAAAATAATGGAGCTGCAAAAATGATTGTTACGCCACTGAATAGAGCGCACTCCACTCTATAAGTGAGGCAAACCCCAACTCAGTGGCGCTGTTCTGTAATGCGCCATCCGATCCAGAACACCTGGAACATCTGGCAACACCTCTTAAGAAACTCACCCTCCGGGTCTGGATAATGGAGGTGGCAATCCCCACCACCGACATGATCACTATGGCGACTGCGTAGTAGTAATACTGTTCGGCCACCCACACCAGCAGACTGAACAGCTGGAACATGTAGAAGGGGGTGAGCGCCTCCAGGACCAGCAGCTGAAGAACCGTCTGTTCGGGCGTGCGTATTTCGTTGTTGCCGTAGACGCGGCGCCTACAAACGTTCCCCTAAAATCACCCGGTAGGTTCCAGAGGTGCGACTCCTACTTGCGCTGCTGCTCCTCGACCGTCTGGCCCTTGAAGCTGTGCAACGTGGCGCGCGTGATGCCATTTTCCAGCCCGGACAGCTTGATGAAGCGTCTGGTGTCCGTGTCCCAGACGTAGGACAGTTTCTTGCACTTGACCAGCCGCACCTGCTGGCGCTCTACCGAATTTCAGGTTAATTTATCGGCGGCAATCGCCGTGCTTACCTTGGGTGCGTCCGTCGGCCAGCCGGAACTTCAGCAGCTTACCCTGGTCGCTGCAAAAACGGTCAGGACAGTGCTTACCTTTGAACCTTTCGCGCGCCACTTACCGATTTGTCAGTGTCAGAATGCGCTTGACAAAGTGCGTGCGCGTCTTGCCGTTGTAGTCGTCCTGAAACTCGCCAGGGGGCTTTGTTAGTGTCTAATCGCACTCGATTTTTTTAGGAAATTTTGTTTGAGAATTTTTTTTAAAATGTTTCCAGACCTGTCACATGACTGAGACTCATGGACAATGGAGGCTGATGTTTCGGCTACAAGGTGTCAAAATTTGACAGCGCCAGCTGCAGTAGCTTGGCAGTTGGGAGCTGTTCACTGTCAAGTGCACCGCTCGATTTTTGCTACGCGCTCCAATTTGGGAATTTTTTAAAAATATTTCCGCACTCGTCACGCGACTGCGTCTCACGGACAATTGACGCTGATGCTTGGGCTATAAGGTGTCAAAATTTGACAGCGCCAGCTGCAGTAGTTTGGCAGTTGGAGGCTCTAAACTGTCAAGTGTGGCGCTCAATGTTTTCCAGGAGTTCCAGTTTATGAATTTTTCTAAAATGTTTCTAGA